CAAAAACAAAAAAATCTGATGAAATATTTACATTAAAAGAATCATTAACAAATAATCAGTAAAGAATTTAAATAGAAAATTCGAATAAATGTTTTTTTTTTGTTTATTTTGCTTCTTTATTTAGAAATGATAATGATGATATTCTTTCATGTATTGATGTATCTGATCAATTTCGTTTGAAATTAGATTCTCTTCTTAAAGAATTTATTGAATCAAATGATACATTAGAACCATTTATAATACAACGTCAAAATTTTTCAGATACAGAATTTTATTATATTGAATTACTTGCTAAAAGTAAACAATTGAATATTAATCGAATTAATGATGATACTATTCATATTACCAAGTAATCTATTATAGAAAAATCATTCGTTTTGTCAATGATTTATTCATAAATAAAGTAATTGTCAAAATTATACAGCCAATAGTTTATTTTATAATATAAAACCGATGAAAAATATAAGATGAATATATTTTTTATTGTATTCTAAAATATCAAGCATTGAATTCAAAATCCAATAATGACTTGAATAGCTAATGAACTTGTTTATCAAATACATCCTATATCGAAATGTTATAGATGGACTACGAGAGGAAGATTTCTCGAAAATTTAAAATGGTAATTTTCAGATCCTATACAATTGGGCGAAAAATTAGTTTTTAAGAATACTATCTTGAAGAGCACAATATCTTGAATAAAATGATTAATTGCCGTGTTTTCTACGAGATCGCTTTAAAAAGTTATAAGTATCACAAAAAAAGAACTTCGAAATTCATAATAGCATTGCTAAAAAAAGGGCATTTTTTGTTTTCTGTGATATTTGTAATTGTTTGAGAGAATGTGTCATTCTTAAAAACTAATTTTCATTCAATCTTTTAGGACATAAAAAACTATCGTATATAGTTCTTTCGAAACCTTCCTATCATAGTCTATCTATGAAATTTTGATATAGACTGCATTTGATAGAGAACTTCATTGACTACTGAAATCATTATTTGGATTTGCGTTAAATGTCTGGTATATAATTAAAAATATGTTTGTTTTATATTATTGATTAGTACTATATTGTATGAATATCTCAAAAACAAGATGAACTAGAATGATCTGATTTTCATCAGATTATATTCCATAGTCTGTAGTATACTAGTAAAAAAATTTCATGTCAATCCATTGATCTTGTTAGTTTTTATTGGTAATGCAATCGCAACATGTCGTTCTTTGTCCGCTCACAAAATTATCCAACCACTTATTTTTGCCAACTGTTGTAACAATGTTTTTTTTGACCGCTACCGGAAACAAAAAGACATTCTTCATATGAAGTTTAGCCAATTCTATTGTTTAATATTTCGGTAGCAAGAATATTACGAATTGCACAATATATTCTATTTGAATAGATATTCCATGTTGGTAAATTGTATTGGTGATCTGCAACGTATACATCAATCATAGATAGACTTTCTTGTATGGTCTTATTCACACATTGAAGGAAGTATGAAGCATTGTTTTAACAGGATGGATTTGCACGGAATCTTTTTCGATAGAAAAATCTTATATTTTTTCAATCAAAACCAATTATATCACTTAAGCTATATGTTCTTGTTAACTTATAAATATCAGAAGTAAAAAACTTAACGTAAGCTCAGTAACAGATTCGATATGTATCGTACCAAACAAAGATGTATCAAATGAAATTGAACATAGGACGTTGTTCTAAATTTCATCCTCGATCTACATAGGCATGACACGCAAAAATTAGCAATGTTTTCAATGAGATCTGCACTTAGGTTGTGGCTTCGATGATGGTAGGTTTTCTACTTTTGATATTTATAACGTAAGAAGAGTATAAAACTTAAGTGATCTAATCGATTTCGACTTTAAATACAAGAGTTTTCTATGAAAAAAGATTTCCTATAAATTCAAGCTGTTAAAACAAATTTTTATACCTCCTTCAGTACGTAAATACAAGAAAGTCTATTGTACATGAAATATCTATTCAAATATAATAATTAATACAATTTGTAGTGCTCTTCCTGATTCTTTATTGAACAATAAAATTGGCTAAATATCATATGAAAAAAAACCAATCGTTTCTTTTACTTGTTGAAAATAATTTCCGGTATCGGTAGAAGAAAACATTGCTTTTAAACCCATACTCAAAGGTAAGGTACAATAAAAAAATACTCTTTACGTAGAATATAATAGATTCATGTATCATAAAGAAAATTCCAATTTAAAATAGGTGCATAACAATTTGCAAAAATAAGTGCTTGAATAATTTTCAAAGAATAAAAAATGACATACGACGATTGTATTGCCAATAAAAATAAACAAGATCAAGGTGTTGGTACGAAATTTGTTTACTGGTATTCTACAGACTATGGACTGTAATCTGATGAAAAACAGATCATTCTACCTCATATAGTTTTTGAATCATACGCAAAATAAAATAAAATAACCTACTGATTGGATAATTTTGACAGTCACTGTATGTCCTACAGGATTTTGTATGTTTGTACAGAAGAAAAAAACAAAATTGTTATTTTTGTCTTTCATTTGTGTTGTTTTTTCGGTTTCTTAGTTTTTTTTTCAATAAAAGAACATCGAAATGAATTAAAATGTAGGAATAATGGCAAACCAATTTGTATCTATATTGAAAATCACTTCTATTTAACAAAAACAAATTTGACCTTTTATCAAGTCATAGTCAATATTAGGAAGTAACCAAGGTAGTAGCTGCTGATAAACATAGAGAAAGAAAAACATACCTGACTTTATCCAACTCGTCATGATTTTTACCTATGGAAAGAACCCAACAGAAATAAAATTCTACCCTTTTTCCAACTTTTGAAAATGCCAACTTCCGTATTTGTCACTGCCGTGCTGAGTCACACGAATATTTGTTTATGTCATCATTCATGTATAAATAGATGAAAATTATTAATAAGTAAGATCTCATTGCTCACATCAATAGTTAACATTACACGATAAAGGTAAGAAACGATATTAGTTGAAATTTTTATGTAATCAATAGATAATCAAAGTTAATCATTTGATGAATATATATTGTTGGCAACATTAAAATTTGACTAAAGATAAATTCATAAAATCAAAACAATTAAAATCTGAATAGAATAAAACAGTATTTTGTAGCACACCTGTGTTTACAATCGAATGTGCGACCAGTTGTTGAATTTAAATTCAGTTATTTTTTTTTTCATTAGATTATAACACGTACATCTATAGTTATAGTGTTTTTCATTTCATTCTACATTTAGTAAAGTACATGATTGTATAAATTTATCTTTAGTCGAATTATAATTTTGCCTACAACATATATAAATATCTTAAGAAAATTATGACATTTAGTTTCTGCAGATTGAACTTTTTGAGTAATCTATTTCAAATCTTTCATTGATTTTATTGTTGAATTCCAACTTTAGAAAAATGTTTCTTTACAAAGAAAAACCTTTCATAATTAATTAATGAAAAAAATTAGAGTTTATAAATTAAGTATAAAAAACAGGAATTTTAGGGTTTTAATAGAGTTCATAACGATTGGAAAATCAAAGAAAGTAAAACAGTATTATTTTAAAACAGTTCAAAATAGGAATCTTCGATTTATTCGAAGGATTTATTAGAGCAACTAGGTTTTCAAGTTTTAGTCACAAGTAGAAATGTGTAGGACGAACTTTAGTTCCGATCCTAGTGATTAAAACTGGAACTGAATCTACAAAAAAAAAGTTCTCCAAAACGGAACTAAAGATTATAGTTAAATGTTCTATGTCTGTCAGACGAATTATTTTATAAATCATACCAATCAAAGCACAATTCACTATATGTGACAAAAGAAAGCATTGCTCGTCGACTAGATATATCACGAAACGAGCATTTAAGAATCTTTTTACATGTAATATCAATAAATTCTGGAATAGTTTTCTCTCGATCGTCGGAACTGGCACCAGATCAAATTTACTGAAGTTATAATCGAGACCACTGAAAAAGAAGCTACTGAACCGGACCAGAACTAGAGCTAAAAATAAACTTGGATCCACACATTTCTATCCGTAAGACTTCAGATTATAATCTTGTATATATATAGATAGATATATGCAGATAGGATAAATGTTTGATTAAAGAAAAAATATTTTACATAAATATATTTCATTCAATGTAGAACAATCAATCATGGATTCCGATAACAATGAACAAGGTTATCGTTACGAAAAAGAAACATTTAATCATGCTAGTGATGATTATAGTGAGTAGATTAATTAATTATCTGTATAAAACTATGTTTTGTATATTTAATTAGACGCCAACGCAATGATGTCATCAACAAACAACAAAGTAAGCTAGTTGAAAATATCAGATGAATTTCATTTTCATTTTCTTTTCAAAGGATGATCAGTCATCAGATACTTCAGGGAATAGCAGCACTGGAAGTAACAAGGATGATTCTTAACAAGCCAGAATGATAATAATAAAATGGGTAACAATCAAACTGAAGTATCTATCACAAAAATTACGTAGTAACTATTACAGACAACAATTAAAGAGAACAAATATTGCTACAAAGAATATGTATATTTTTTTTATAAAAATAAAAATGAAATATTTTAATAATAATTTCAACTTAATGACTCACTGAATCAAGATGGTGTTCATTTGAAAAGAAATTCGTTTTATTCAGAAATGAAAAAAAACAAGGGATAAACAAACTTAACTGAAAAAAATGGACAATAAGAATTTTTCTATATATATATGTATTGTAGTCAAAATTAAAGTTCAGTCGAATTTAAAATTTAACTGAATTTTCTGGACAAATTTTAAATTTGACTGAATTTTAATTTCGATCACAACATATATATATAATGATATTCGAAATGAATAACATATTGTTTGCTATCACTCAATAAGTCGGTGTTGATAGGTTTTTAAAGGTAAGGGGTAAATATGGGTTGTGAAGTTATTGGATTTGAAAGATGTAATGTTGCATTTATGCGGTATCATTGTCGTCTTCATCATCATCATTATCAACAGGTTCATCATCGCCCCTGTTTTCGTCGCCATTTTCATCATCGTCGCCATTTTCATCATCGCCGCCGTTTTCAGCATCACCCTCGTCATCCTCAATATCTAGTTCATCATCACCATTATCATCGGGATCGTTTGTGTCCGCTTCTTCTTCATCTGCTTCATCATCCAATGTTTGTCCAACATATTCGGGACTTTCAGGCGATGCTAAACTGCTAACATCCTCTTCCTCAACTAACGCTGAACTTCTGTCGGAATCATCAGCAAAAGTTGCTAATAAAAGTAAACTGATGAAAAATAAACCGATCAAATACTTCATGGTGTCAGTTGATTGATATGTTGATGTTTGAATAAAGATAAAATTTGAGAAACTAATGCATTTTAATATGGGAATATGCTCTATTTAAAGTGCATCATAAATAATAATTGCCACTTACAATATAATATTAGATACTTAGAATTGTTACTTATCATTCACTTTTTTTTTCTATTTAATTAAGAACACATCTGGTTATAATGGATGGAAATATTTTCGTACTTAACATAGGTCACAACTGTTTTATGCCATTGTCTTTACACACAATAACTAAGATTATGAATGTCATTTGAGAAAAAATAAAATGAACTGCATATACTTTTGTCATCAACTGCTTTTACGCATTTCTTTTCTCATATAGTTTGAAAAGGACATTCACGACACCATGAAAAAAAAACGATATTTATATTCGTACGAGAAACGAAAGTGTTGAGTAAACAACAGAAATGACAACGTTATTTTATTTGCATTTTTTTTTGTGACTTATTGGAACAATGTTTTTATAGCAAAAATCAGGTTAAATAAGTCAAAAAAATCTATAAGAACTGGTATACGTCCAAAAACATCAAGTTTTGCTAAGCTTTTGTGTCATTTGAAACAATCATCATATTTATAATTAACACAAAAATAATCTGCATTGAATAGTATACTCAATATTTAAGACAAGTTTTCGTCAAATTGCGACTTTGGTAGAACAACGAATTAGATGATTCAAAAAAAAACAATGAAGGAATGAAAAGACTGAAAATTTGTTTTAAGTATTGAGTATACTATTCAATGCAGATTGTTTTTTGCTGATTCTGAATATGATGTTTATTTCATTTGAAATAAAAATTTAGCAAAACTTGATGCTTTTGGTATATTCGAATTTTCACAGATTTTTCTTCGGATTTATTTTAAATCTAGTTTCGCTACTGGAACATTATTCGAATATTTTTAGAGATAACTAAATGAGTTCCATTCAACCATATGAAAAATCTATCAATAAAAAAAACTTTTTGCTCGGATTTTGAATCGTCGACATCTTTGCACGAAGCAATTCAATAGTCATCAAAACAGTCGGTAAACATGAATGGTAATAATTTTAAAAAATATGCAATGAATTGTTGATATTCCATATCATTTAGAATTACAATAAGTGATATGTGTGATGTAGTATAGAATAGTTTTCTTCATAATCAATTACTTAATTCAAACGATCATACTCCAATTGGAAGACTTCAATATATAGTTCAAGGAATAGAAGAATTTCTTATCAAAACAAGTGAATAAGACTGAATGCAATAATTAAAAAAAAACACCAGTCGATTTTCATTCAGGTTAATAATGTTTACAAACATCTTTATACTCTGTATACCATTTTATATATAGATCAATAAATAATGATCATCCAATGTTTCAATTTCATGATCGACAAGATATTAATGAAATTTTTTTAGAAAATTTACTAGAAAACAATTAATGAAAATCTTGATGTTAAAGCTTTTTTGAAATCAGAAGAAGCTATGCTGAATTTTTTATGTATTTTGTAAGTTTTGATTCTTTGTAAAATGATAAAAGTTCATTTTCGTGACAGTATGCCATGTACATTGTCAGTAGTCAGGTAAACAAACTCAAGAAGAACACCCTTGTGCACTTTTTGATGTCTTTCGTTCATGATAATTTTCATCTCGGAGAAATTAAGACATTATCTTGGCTAAAATTATATAGACAGTTCTTTCAAAAAACAAAAAAATAATCGTTCATATCGATAGAATATGGCTCGCGGATCCTAGTCATATGATTGAAGTTCATTATTAATTGTAATTTGGTGGTGTAGAGTGGGCTTTTTGGTGTTATATGAGAAATTCAGCATCTTTTCTTTCGATTTTAAATAAATGGCAGCAAATATACAGTCAAAAATAGGACATTATAGATTGTTAAATTATGAGCTTTTCCACTCACGTTGGCTCATTAAATAGATGATATTCAATATTTTCAGTAGCTCATCTTTTATTGAGCTATTAATGTTCTATCTTTTGATATGTTGTATGACGAAATTTATTCGTCTATGGAAGTATAGTCTTAGTAGATATTTATCCTTATTTTCTTGTTAGCAGGTAGGTAGTGTTGAAAAGTCAATTAAGGGTAACTTTACTATGAAATATTTCAATGAGCTAAAAATTTAGGATTGATGATTTTAGATAATGATCTTTTGAATGTACATTAATATTCAAAAATTTAAATTTGACCAGTGCCTCAGCTCCCTTCATGAATGTTCTGTTATATATTACACAGTGAGCCATAGAATTGAATTGTCTTAGATATTCGATATCTCAAAAAATACATTCGTTCGAGCTGAAATATTTAAACCCCTCCCCGCATTAGAAGACCCCTGGTCTTCTATTATGTGTCGCCGTAAAAATTTTTTAGAGGGGTCTTCTATTGTGTCCTAGGTTTTTTACCAATTATTAACTGAAAGTAGTTTTCCAGAAATCCGAGATGATTTTCAGGATTCTCATAGGGATTTTCACGGCTTTGAGGGTCGACGGATACATTTGGACTCATTTTCTAAATATTACCAGCTGAAGAACCTAAAAACTGTGTATTTCTGGACGGAAATTCCCTAATTAAATTTCCTAATTAGCAAATAATTAATTAATTAAAGGGAGGTCTTCTAATACCCCCGATGAACTTTTTGTCCAGGGGGGTCTTCTATTATAGGGGAGTCTACTAATATGGGGGGGGGGGGGGCTTCTAATACGGGGAGGGGTTTAGGATATTGTAGTGATCGTGAGACATCTGTCTATGTGCAAAATTTCATATAACAATCTTCTAATTCAGTTTTTCATGAATAGTTGGCCCAGAAGGCAGAAAAAATACTAAAGCGATTATAATTTTCACCTGATAATGCATGAGTACGAATCTTTTTAGAGTTACCTTATTTTCACTAAGTCCTACTCATAGCCAAAATGTGAAGTTGAACAGTGTTTCGACAATTGGATATGTTTTCTCGCTTGTATTAATGATACTGACAGAACAGAATCTACCTCTACCGGAAAATCATTTTTTTTTCAATCCTATATTTGAATATCAATATTTTGCAAAAGAAATACGTACAATGAGTGTCATATCATCATGAACAAGAAGACATATATGACTTCAATCAAGAATCGAAAGAAAATTGAACAAAAGATAAACTAAAACCAAAATATTAGATCTTCAATCACATTCATCACTGACACTCGACAAAAAAAACCAATCAAGAACTTAACCAAAATAAAATTTCGATTTTCAATATTTTATTAGATCTGAATGAGAACAACTAACATATTCGTTAAGATAGTAATACAATAGAATTTATTTTTTTTCACCTATTTTCAAAAATGCCCATCCGAACAGAAAAAAAGATCACCACGGATTTCAACGTTCTTAGAACCTGTTGTTACACTATTACATAAATCTCGACCAGATCTTCAGAATCTACCCTTGTACACCTACTTGCATAAGGAGAAATCTTACAAAAATTATTGTCTACATGAAAACTTTTTAATTTGAAAAATTTGTTAATAAAGTTTTTCTTTTGTACTAATCAAAGTACAAAGTTTAGGTCTCCCCTTCGACATATATATATCCTATATTACATTTTGTTTTACGTTGTTGTGTCCTTCAAATGTGAGCAATATCAGATCATTACATGTACCTGTGTCACCATTCAGGTTAATCTTTATTTTGTCGTTCCTATTAAACTTAACAAACTGTCTGTGACTAGCCGCAACCGAACCTTCAAAGGCTTGGTAACAATTTCGTAAACTTGGTTATCCTGTTCATCCTCATTCTCAGCAGTAAATTCCTATTCTCAATCTGACCTATCACTCTAATTCTTATCTTCCGTCGTTTCACCACGATTGGAGACCAAACTTTAACATGAAAACTTTCATGCCTTGGTTCAGTTGTAACATATCATTTCTGGAATGACCAAGTAATTACTAAAACTATCATTATTATTCGATGATTAATGAAACTAATGTAGTTTTTACATAATGTTCATTTGAGTATATAGTACCCTTGTGTTCTCTCTTGATTGTTTTATATATTAAAAAAATTATTTATTTTATTTTGATGGTAAGAAAATTTTTTGAAGAATTTCTCTTTGTTGAAAGAAATTTTTCATTTTAGCGACAAATTCTGTACCTCTGATCTCGACTATCTTTTTTTTCTGCATTGTTGTCATATCATTTGTATTCAATATCAAAATATATGAAAAAACATAATTCCTATGACTATATCATGCTAATTGATTTTATCATATTTTATTTTTTTAAGTTATCTAATAGGACAAGTACAATAGTAACACATGCAATGAATATTGCTTGAATAAAAAACTGATATACAGTATGTTGCAAAAATAAATGATATCACACGGATGTGACGATTAAAGACATATTCATACTGGCAAGTTTGTCTAATTAATTTTTTTTTTCACATTGTACTAAATTCGTTATGTTTACTTAATGAGATAATGTTAATTTTATATCCATGTTTTTAAGTTTATCTTCATTACGTTTATAAATATCTCGTAAATCTGAATGATGACGATCACGATCACAACCAATTGAAAAATTAGCTGTATGCATACGATGTAAATGTGATACCATTGGTATATAAACACTTAAATGTCCATGAATTAAAAATCTTACATAAAGATCAAGATCTTCTGCCATACCAACTGATTCATCATAACCACCAACTTCATCATAAAGTTTTTTACTAAAACATACATTACCTAAAAAATTCAACAATAAATTATTATAAATACAAAATCTTTTTTTATTTTTCTTTCAATTATTCTTTTCAAAAAATAATGATGATGATTCTTTTTTTAAATAACTTTCGATAGAAACGATGAAGAAAACTGCGGTTTTCTTCATTTAAAAAAGAACACTTGTGACTAAGTTGAAATCTTATTAGTCATTCGTTGATCAATTAGGTGAGTTATTAGCAAAGATTTTGGAAACGAAATT